AGAGAGAGAGAGAGAGAGAGAAGAAGAAAGAAAGAAAGAAAGAAAGAAAGAAAGAAAGAAAGAAAGAAAGAAAGAAAGAAAGAAAGAAAGAAAGAAAGAAAAAGAAAAAGTGAGATAGACAATTTATATCCCATATTTTCCATTTTCTATAGTCTCATTTCCTTGCATATTTCCTTGAGAAACAGCTCTACTGATTGGGACCTATAGTTTAAAAATCTCAAGAAGCTTTGTAAGAGAGCTAAAACATGTTTTGATTTTGAAAGCCAGAATTACTTTTTAAAAACCCTGCTGATGCCTGATATAAAATAGTTAATGTCTTTACTTAAAATAGGACCAAATTACTTTAGAATTATTGTCTTCTATGACTTTGGAAAAAAAGAAAAGGGTCATTTACAGGCCAAATTACTCATTTTTTAAAATCTTGTTTAGAATTTGTTTATGTTCAGGATGTTTTATGAATAATTAAATGGTATGGGAATGAAAATTCAAATTAGCTGAGGCATAGATGATTATTTTATTTGCATTTATATAGATAAAAATAATCCCTTTAGAATATCTGTGCAAGTATATGATACCATATTTCTGAACCCTGATGAAATCAATTAATGGAAATTAAATGTTCAAAGTTTCACAGACTGACAGATACTATCTTAGTGTTAAGTCACTTGGTATATGCAAGCCCTTGTGAAGGCAGAGCAATCAAAGCGCCTAAATTGAATTGCAACTATAGAGCAATTAGTTTATTGATTTAATTAAGAATGCCACCTTTCTAATTCTCAGGTCATGATTGAAACATTTTCTGATTAGAAATATTTGTTGTTAATAGGGCAGCAGTATATGTCAGGAAAATCATTCTAAGAATGATGATGATGATCAGAGAAAAAAGGCATGACTTAATAGGAACAAACACATCACAAAGTTATAAGGCATACATTTGGCATCGCTGAAATATTTCTAGCAGTGAACCAACTAATATGGTTTAGATAAAGCGTCCTATCAAACTCACATAATCTCACATGTTGCCTGGAGATTATGTAAGGCAAGACTTCCAGAGAGCTCACGTTTGGTGAAGATTGTCTTAGATTAAAATTCATTCACTGAATTTTATAGTTTAACAAACTCAATGGTAATAATAGGGCTATTAGAAAGGAATTCTTGGTATAAAGTTGTGAGCAATTATTGACAATCAGATAGGCCTGCTGTCTCCAATTTGGCATCCTTTAGATACACTGGGATTGCAAGTCCCCTAATTCAATTTCCAGCATAGATTTCTGAAAATTTTGGAAACTGAAGACCAAATATACATGAATGGTATCAAGTTGCTACAGTAAGCCAATCTTCTCTTTAATTAGACTATTATAATTGTTTCAATTATAGCATCCTTTGGTCTTTTCAATTATGGTAACATCAGGTTAATTTTCTTCCTACAGTTATGAAATGGTCAGCCTGCATTCATGAAGAAGTGAATCCCCAGTATCAGAAATTTTTGAAAAATATAGTCTCCAGTCCAGAGGTTCCTTATGTCAAAGCCATCTGATATCATGACTTTACTTAAATTGATCATTGGCTTTACAAGCTTTAACATTAATTGAATAATGGGCCTGGATTTAACCAACCCTTCCCATACAGATTATGGGTTATTAACAGCTAGCATCTCTTGGAGACTTCACATATGATTTAAATTTCCATTTCCACATATTATCCTAACAGTATCTTTTCAAGCAACAACAACAACATGGACCTTATTGTGCAACCCTAAGCATTTTCATGTTGAATTAAGCACACCAATATCTACCTGGTAAATTTCTTGAAATGTTTTCAATAATTACAAAAGCCTAAGCTATCAACATATACTGTGCAACATGCATAATACATACTGGCGTAGGGAGAGTTGGCAGCAGATCCATTCAGGAAGGTTGGAGAACCACCTAAATTGGACATTCCAGCATTTCCATAGCCATTCATGCTTGTCGTGACGGAGTTGTAATTTGTCTGCTGAGGGGTAGTGCTTGGCACATAACCATGAGGAGACACACTGCTTGAGTTACGAGTAAAACCTTTTGCAGGAAGTAAAAAGAGCACAACGGCTGTTTCTCAACCAAGAGTTCCACCCAATTTCAAAACATTCCAAACCCTACTATGCTAAAATTGGATGAGACTTCAGTAAAAAATGCAGTTGTGGGGAAAAATTGAGGGAGTGGCTTTTTCAAATAGCTTATAGAGTGATTGCACATTATTCATACTTTTAGGTGCCCTATAGTCAAATGTTCTATGTGTCATACAAAATGAATTAAAGTGTAAACATTATTTCAATATTCCAACCATAAACAATTAAAAATCCAAACCAGCAAGAACATCCAAATTGTTTCAAATATAGTATGATAAAAAAAATACCATATGGATTGCTGGAACTACATAAGCTGGAAGTACTATCAGTGCCATAAATAACCAAGATCATTGAAAAAATTTAAAAGGCAGAGGAGAAAGGAAACATCTTTGCCTAGTGCTGAAAAAACAACATTATGGGTGCCAGACAAGCTTTCCTAAGGAGAGCATTCTGTAGTGGGAATCTACCGATAAAAAGTGTTGAGAACATTTAAGTAAGTGGTCATAGATGGTAGAAGATATTGCAAATAGCTATGGGATACAGCCTGGTGCATTCCATTATAATTTTCTGCAAATGTTTTCAGCCATGCATTCAGCAAACTGTTAACCATTTGTGACAAATTCATAATATTAAAAAAGAGAAGAAAAGGAAAAAAAGTGTTTTTTACTTGTTAAATCTGGAGAATGGTTAAATTAGTTCTAAAATATTAAAATGAAGGACACTCTTTTTCTGCGATTTCAGAGACTTCTAAGATCTATTCATTAGAAAACCTACGAGGGCCATCAGTAGAAAAATAATAAAGAAGAAATACCATGATGCTGGTAGCTGTACTTTATAAAAGTATAGCTGCACTTTTGGTTGTGGGTGCTGTGGCCTCAGTTACATGACATACACATGAAGTGGTACTAGTTGTAGAAAAAAGTGAACACTCATCCCTTAATTAAAGTAAAATTAGGCTGGATGCAATAATCATTCCAGAAGTGCAATTAAAACTATTACCTGGATTCTGAAGCTCATGACACCCCAACATGTAATACTGCACTACTGAAACTTTCCCTCTGATCCTGGCCACCCCAGACCAGAATTCCAGATCATAGGAATTAGGAACATAGTTCTTAAGTAAAACCGCTTCCTATTTCTGACATTCTATGAACAACTATGCCTGTACTAAAATGAAAGAATCGTGCTTAGAACATAGGATTTACTTGAAGATGTTCACTTTTATTGCCTGGACCCTGAGCTCTTCTATATATGACTCTAAAGGAAGAATGAAAGCAATATGCATTATGTCTTTTATTTACCATATAAAGTCTTGAAAAGAAGGGAAACAATCTTCAGCTTACCCTGATTGGTGGCCTGTGAGGCTTCGGAGACATTTACTGCTAACTGACCACTAAATGAATTCACACCCATCATGCCTGCATGGACTGATGTATTAGCAAGTGCAGGGAGTTGGTTATGATTGCGAGGGACACTGTAGAGTGCTTCTGCAATATCAGCTGCTCTTTTCAGGATTATTTCCTGACAAAACATGAGTTTAAATATGGAAGAAGTTAATTAAATACAAAACTTACTAGGAAATACCTGATCAGGGCTGCAAAAATCCAGGTGACCACTAGATGCCAGCAAAATGTATTTTCTGCCTTTCTTCCTACTATCAAGTGGTTTTTTGCAGCTACTGATCTGGTAGCTCTAAATCTACTCATCAGTTCAAAGTCTGCACTAGTGCATACTTTCATAACAATGGAACAATTGATCTACATATCAGATTATGATCGCATTTATTCAAAGGAAGTAATGAATGACAGTGTAATGGTGACTGATATCATGATGAACCAACTCTTTGCTCCTATTCTGTAAAATGGGAACAAAGCTAGGAGGCTGAAGGTGTTCACTGTAAAATATTGCATATAAACACACTGCTAGTCTTAGAAAGAACAAATAAATATATGTGTTGGGAAAATCCTAATTTTTAGTCCAACCCCAATTTGTAGTGAACAGCTATCTATCTCCCAGAAAGCAAAAGACACACAAAAAAATAGAGTTTCATAGACCAAAGGACTGTAGATGGGGAAGCTAATCCCACTATATTAATATCAGTTAGCTGAGAGTGACCTTCATTGACTTCAGTGGGGCTTATTTTTGAAAAGACACATAGGATTCCAGTGTTAAACATTTGTCTTCAGTTTAAGGAAGTAATCCAAAGAATTCTATAAAATCAGGACCTGGCCCAGTGAGAATTAGTTAGGCCTGTGCTTTTTAAATTACACTAAGATAAAGTCTCTAAACAGAATGCCTAAATTGTGGATTATATTTTCTATTGATATTAAGTTAATTACTTGGCACAAGCAACTATCAAACAGCTCATACCATATTTGTGTATTTAAATTCTATTGAAAGTATAACACATTAAAATAATAAAATACTAATAACACAGATTCGTGTTTTCATTATTTTAGCAAAGCAAAACAAATAATGTAATCAAAATTTAAAACGCTACTGTCAGAAACTTTGAGATGAGTTTGCTTCACAGAGGAAGTTCTCCTGGATCCATTATGGCTCTCTCATTGCTTTTCTCCAATTTTTAATTTTATTTTTATATGTCCATGCAAGATGACTCTATGCACAGATTTCAGAACACCAAGTTGAGAGCTATTTAACCAAGCATGCATTTACCTGATTGTTATGTGGCATGCCATAGAGTGCTTCCACCAGATCAGCTGCCCTCTTAAGTATTACTTCCTGTTAGAAAGAAAAGGAGAAAGGTGAATTTTACCCACATTCATGTAGGAAAAAGCAGTTTGCAGTTCTAACATTGTGTCCTCAATTTCGTTTTCAGTCACAACAGTCTTAAAAATCAACAGTACCTAGTCAACCCAGAATGTTGCTAAATCATGAATTCATCCAGTTCATGCACAAGTTAAAAGGTAAAACCTGCTTGAGCTGCAAAATAAAATCTGTCACTCAAGCCTGCGCAGAAGCTGTTTGCAGGTTTATTGCAGAATAAGACCTACATTTCTTTGTTCAATTATTGCAATCAATGTCAGGCAGAGCGTGTTACAGATTTCTTTCATGCTGTTTATTTGGCTCTTAATTTATATAATAGAAAAGTGTCCTTATCAGATCAACCATATTGTTAGGCTATCTCTGGAATGCTGTTGCTGATCTGATAACAAAGCCAACTTCTATGCTTCCTCTTTTTGCCATGTTAGGTGCCATAACTTGGTATTCAAAAAGGAAAGAAAGGTTTTGAAGACAAGCAACAACTGAGAAAAAGATGTTAAAGGTTTTTCTTCATGGAATTTGGGAGGGATGCGGTGGAATGTCTGAATTTCAGGCATAAACCTACCTTTAATTTCTATGGTTGCTCACTTCTCCATCTGCTCATTTATTTATCCCTGTTGTGTTGCTAAACTCATTTGTATTAGGAACATCTCTTCATTTCCCTGCTCCAGCTATACCCTCACGTGTTTGAGACTGACATCTGCATAGCACAATGCTCTCTTTGTATTTTTGGCACGTAAAACTTTGAGAACAAGAGTGGAGTCAATAAAATGTATTTGTAAATTACAGGTATCTTTCTACATCACAGAATTGATAATATACAGTTGATTTCCACCATATGTATAAAAATCTTAGTAGGTAACTTCTACCAGAAATAATTGATTTTGGTAGATATGACAGCATAAAAGCTGAATCATAATATATTTTTGCAGATGCTTTCTGAAGCTAGATGCAATTTTTTAAGAACTGACTTTTGAGTTAAGCTGAGAAGCTTAACTAGGAATGTTTTATACGCTAGCTAGATTTTCTAACTAAAAGAAGTAGTAATGCTCAATTTTCATATACTATAGCCTCTTATCAGAAAATAGAGATATAATTGCATTCATTTTGCTGTCACCATAACCTCTTCAAAATCCTTGAACAACTCTTCAGATGACAAGCTTTTAGATGCATATTAGCATTTTTCAATTTAAAATTCTCTACAATATATGCTAAAAGAGTTGGCATATTGCAGTAGGTACTTATGATATACATGATGTCCTAAATTTAAAAATGAGATTGTAAGTGTGTTTTGAACCCCCATACGCATTTATCATTCCTTAGAACCACAGCACACTCTCCCCTTCATAATGCACATTTCAATTTTTTTTCCCATGCTTGCAGCCAGGTGCATTATATAATTGATGGGTTTTGAATCAATACATTTGAAACTATTTATTTCTGAAGAGATCACTAGCTCCTGTCTTTGTCCTTTCTATGCATCCTGACCAAAGTACTGAATAATTTACAAGCGTATGAATTGAATGCACATGATACCCATATGGAATGTGGCCATGCTGGTTCAGCCGAGCTACTTAGAAAATCAGTAAGCTCAGCCTGCATTGTAAAAGATTAAAAATCTAAACTAGAAGGGAAAAATAGCTTGTCAGATTTGACTTTTCCAGTTCCTAGTAAATTAAAACATCTTGTCCAGACAAGATGGTTTTGGAAATGTAATGCTATCCCAGGTGACATCATCAACAACTGCATAATATTATTACAAAATGGCAAATCACTCTTACTGTTATGAAAAATATGTCTTATTCTTTAGCCCCAATTAATAAAACTTGTATTTTGCTTTAAGTCTGAGCCTCAGTATAGACAAAGTAAATCAGATATTAACTATGGAGCAGTTTAATTCCCCCTAATAGAATTTCTATGGGAAATATGGTTTATGGACTGTCTTAATGTAACTACATAGAAATCTAAACTTCCATTCTTAAGAGAGGAACAGTTTCTTAATAGTCAGTAACACCACAATAAAATAATTCTAACTGCATAAGCTAATGATAGTTTATCATTGGAAGATATTGAATAAGCGTCACTAAAATTTACATGTAGTCAATGTTTAGGGTGCATTTCTTTTTATAACAAGCAATTGCTTATACATTTCATGTTTACTTAAACAAAATCACCATATAAAAACACCTTTCTTTCATATAGCATTGTCAGATGTTGCAAAAAAATATGGAAAAAAATCTCATCAGGTAATGTTTAAGCTTTTACATAAAAATAATAGCTTTTCTATTCAGTCTAGCTGTTAATAAGATACCCGGTAATAAATGTAATTTAAAACATTTTGGGTTCCAACCCATTTATGAGCACAGTCCTGCCTTCAAATACAATGCGGTACCTAAAAGTCTTCTAGAAAGTGCTGTTCCTGCAACAGCACTGGCAAGGTGGTTGAATTGCAGTGACCAGAAAATTGTTCTCACCTCCATGTCATTACGTTCACAGTGAACCAGCCCCGAGCGTGTTTGTGTTCGGGATCTAATATATTGCCTTTCAATCAGAGCTGAGAGCCACTGAACACATAGACAGAACATGACGAGCAGGTCAGGAAAGCAATAAAGATTTTACAGAGCTGTCCAAGGTGCTAAATTTACTCAATAATGGGTTTGGCACCATAGTGTTAACCTCTCATTTACTACCAGTTTGAGAGACTAAATTGAACTAGCTGACTTCATTTACCTTGAAATGTATATTTTATGACATTATGTAAGTAGATTGAAAGGGCACTGCAGCTTTAACAATTTAAGGGGCTAAAGCATGTTCAAGATTATGGCTGGCTATTTGCTGTATATTGTATATTGCACTTAAAAGTTTATGGAATATTAAAATGTACTGATTAATCTTCTGAATGTTATTGTAAGAAGGATAGCTAATATAAAAAATACCTATGCCTTTGAAAGCAATATTGTGCTGCTGAAAGTGTGTATAAAGAGAGCCACAGAAAGGTTGTCTTTAAATAGACACTAGAGCACTGTAAACACACTCACACACCAACATTTAATATTTGTCTTTGGATTAGCAAGTTACAACATTCCCATCTGCATTAATAGTATTAAGCATGCATATTCCACTTTCATGACCCTAGCTCATGCCCCTTTTCAGTTTAGACTCCCATTCGACACATATTCACCTGGTATTAAGAAGTAACACTGAAGAGGGTAAGTAGGTAAAGGACTGCAACTGTTATTTTTAGTGATTAAAACAACTCCTTCAGGAATTAGCCAGCTAATATTTTTAAGAGAGTATTTGGCAGAGTGGAAGCATTATCCCTATATTCTGTATTCATTTCTTTTATGCCATCATGGATTGGCTAAAGTCTGTAGAGATTAAAGTGGCACACCACCCCTGCAGAATTAGTCAGAGATGAAAAATCAGATGATTGATTTAACATTTTTTTTCAGCAAAGAAAATAAATCTGAAGGTAATGGCTCTTAGTAGTCTGTAACCAGAAAGCTTGTGCTATATTTTCACCTTAATCCCTACAGATTGGAGGAAAAGGGAATCCTGGCTGTAAGAAAACGCCTCAGTCAATCAGCCACCTGCAAGAAAAACTGACTCTAAAGAAAAAGGAAGGCCAATACCCCAGAGTTTATTGACTAGGATTGTTCTTAAGAATGATTGTTGGTTTATGTTGAACTCAGAATTTAGTATGATCTCATGGACAGGAGTTATTATTTCTGGTTAGGTTGGAGGAGAGAGAGTTCAAGCTTTTTGTTAGAAAGATTAAAAAGGGAATGTATTGAGGTGCACCGGCCTACACTTAACTTTTAAGACAAAACTTTTTTTACTAAATTCTTAATCAATCCAGAGAGATCAGCAAGAAGAACTCCACAGAAAGGAGATCTGTGGCCTGGTGTTTATTAACTGAGATTGTATAACTTTTATTACAGAGTAATTCATTATAGTTTTGTAAAATCAGCAAGAAATGCTGATGGGGATAAGGAGGAAGGAAATCTACCTAATGGCTTAAAACTGTGATTTGGATATTTTTTGTGGTATTTTCCATATAAGCTTTCTTTGGACAGGCCAGGACAATTTATAAATTACAAAGGTTATTACCATCACAGTAACATTGATTGATTTATCTATGTTTGAATTTCAGTTATTACACATTCTGTTAAAGTATGCCATGTAATAGAACGGAATAAGAACTGTGTAAAGGCTTTTAATTGGAATATCCCATCTTAAACATTTCTGAAACAATAGCATTCTATTAAAGCTAGTATTTAATTTATGGATCTGTTAATCTGCAAAGACTACAATTGCATATATATATATATTTGCCCAACAAAAAGCAGTTTGATTCAAAGCAATAATAAAAATATTTCTTACATTTAACTTATTACTTCAGAATATAATTTAATGGGCTAGAAAAAATAACTGGTTCTCTTCTACAAGGAAAGCAAGTTGAGAAAGAAATCCAGTACTAATTAGCCAGGCTAATTATTGAATTGAAAGTGATCTTATTCCTCCATACCTTCCACTTATTTTATTATGCACTCAGAAATCCAAATGCCTTAACTTCTTTCACTCAATCAATCTTTCCATTCTGAAATAACACAAAGAGTCAAATATAAAAACGAACCTGGGGTGATATTATGTGAGATGCAACACTCATGCAAAGAGTTATGTCCATGGAAATAATATGTTTGGAGTAAAATACTGTATATGGGAACCCCACATTTACTTAGGGTTTCTATCACAACATTCAATGTGGATAATACCAGTGAGAAATCATCAATGCATCTAACTTGCTTTTAACAGGATTGTATAATATCTTATATAACGGTTCAAGGCTTTGTTGGCTCAACCACTTTGCTCACAATTAAATCAGTTAACAAATGGGCAAAAAGAACAGTGCAGGTAAATGCTGGTTTTTTATAACAAGTGATTAATGTTAGCAACAA